TGGCAACCATGTCGCGGCAAGGGCGGTGACAAAGCAGGTGATACTGTCTGGTAATCAAACGTGGCAATGTAAAGATATCTGTCACTGGAGCTTTTGATGGGAAACTCATCTAGAATTAGTGGGTTTTTCCTTTGCCATGTTTAATTACTGGAGGATAAGTCGATTCAAACATCCAACATGGCTTAGTCCAAGCATCCTTTCTTCTTCGGTCTCAGGCTCATCACGATGGATATCATTCAAGTGCTCTTGCCTCGATGGGAAGCTTCGTATCTCCAGTTAGATGGGTGAGTGAAGATATGAATCTACCGATATTTTTCTGGGGGGTGCCCTCTTTGTGTAAATGTACCCTTGTTTGGGGGCATGTGTTTTGATACCCAAAAGAACATGTCCAGCCCTGGACCCTACGAGACAGTCAAAGAATTTGGGACACTGCGTGGATCCCGGCTCATTCAGCTGAAACTGCAAGATCTTACTGAACTTCACTGGAAGATCAAAGTCATGTAACTGCAATGAATTGCTGAACAGGTATTAATGAATTATATAATTGATCCATACATGTAGCTAAACCATGCTAAACCTAAACCATGCTGACTGACTCGCAATGCCAGAGCCAACACTCATCTGTTGCCCAATGGATTCTCTCAGCAAACCAGGGCTTGAGGAATCCCGAACTAAAAACACCCCACTTGCTGTGATACATACGTATATATATATATATACATATTTATAATATTTATGTAATACATACCGTCTACTATCCCCGGTTGTTTCTGCTGAAATCCTGGTCCAGAGAAAACAAACATCCGACCGAGGGATGTGTGTGTGTGTGTGGTGTGTGTGTGTGTGCGTGTGACATGTGTGTGTGTGTCTGTGTATATATATATATATATATATATGTAAATGTGTATATATATATATATGCTACAAAATATAATCAAGCAATTCAATAGTTAATTATTTGCTTAATTAGTTGTTTAATCAATAAATTGATGTATACATTGTGTATATATATATATATATACAGTATTATATATATATATATATCTACTGAAAAGTTTGGGGGGTGAGACCCAAATGGGGTGAGAAAACCACCTGTAAAAATATGAGAAAACATGGGAAATTAGGGAAAATCATGGAAGATAATGAAGAAAATATGACAACATGACAAGGGACATAAAAACATGACAATTTGAGAATTTGACAGTTTGCGAGAACTGTGGCTCAAATTTCTCAGTCAATGCGCTTGGATGGTATCCAGCACGAGTTTGCAATGTCAAGGGCTCAGGTTCGTACAAAGCCTGTGGGCAGATCCATTACATGTGATTCTCAAAGGAGAATCAGGACAGCAGTGGTCTCCTGTTTCTTGAAGGTCAAAACATCTTCAAATGAATGGGCTTCAAATGGCAGGGTCTCACAGAGGGCAAGGTAGGGCAGGGTCTCGCCCATCAAACATCTTCAAATAAATAAGAGCAGATGGCAGGGTCTCACACATCAAGGAAGGCAGAATCTCACATAAAGGCAAGGCTTCACAGAAGACAGGGTCTCGCCCACTAAACAAAGGCAGGGTCTCACAGAAGGCAGGGCATCATAAAATCAAACATAAATAAACAAAGTCAGGGTTTCTCACAGAAGGAAGAATCTCACAGAAGGCAAAGCCTCACAGAAGCCAGGGTCTCACAGAAGGCAAGGCCTCACAGAAGCCAGGGTCTCACAGAAGGCAAGGTCTCACAGAGGGAATGGTCTCACAGACAGCAAGGTGTGTCACTCATAGCAGGGACTCACACAAGGCATGGTTTCACAGAACACATGGTGTCACATGTTGAACTGAGGCCTAACTCCCACAGAAGGCAGGGCATCACAGAAGGCAGGGCCTCACAGAAGGCAAGGCCTCAAAGAAAGCAAGGTCTCACAGAGGGCCCAACATTATGAACAAAGGCAGGGTCTCAGAGAAGGAAGGGCCTCACAGAAGGCAACGCCTCACAGAAGCCAGGGTCTCACAGAAGGCAAGGCCTCACGGAAGCCAGGGTCTCACGGAAGGCCAAGTCTCACAGAAGGTCTCGCAGAAAGGCTTCACAGAAGACACAGTCTCGCCCATTGAACAAAGCCAGGCTCACAGAAGGCAGGGGGGTGCCAAGCCTAGTTTGGCTACAAGCATGCGTATCACATATGGCGCAATGCAGGGTCTCACACAATAGACAGGGAAATAAAGGATTCCGCACCTGAAGGTGTTTTCACCCGTGAAATCACACGCTCCCGAACTGTTGCTCTCCTCTACTGCTCCCACACGCGAGCTGCTCTTGCTCACTTTCCGGCCCTGGACACTCTTCCATAACTGAAGCTTAGGATTTTATATTTGGTCTTCGATAGGAGCAAGATTCAATCTATAGACATGCTGCACATTTTTCGATAAGAACAGATGGCAGGGTCTCACACATCAAGGAAGGCAGGGTCTCACAGAAAGGCAGGGCTTCACAGAAGACAGGGTCTCGCCAGGGTCTCACAGAAGGCAGCAGGGTATCATAGAATATAGTTAAGGACAGCTGGTAGGCAGGGATCCGCGCTGATGATCTAGTAAGCAGATTAGGTACACTTAAGTACCCCCATGATAGCAAATTCTGAGGTACACTTCTGCCCACTGGGGTGCCTTTGTTTGTATGTTGTATGTAGCTGAATCTGCCTACTGGGGCCGGGGTTCCCACCATTATGTATATAAACAAATTACATATACCTCAGAATTTGCTATCACGGGGGTACTTAAGTGTACTTGCCAACTAGATGGGCATGGGGGTACAATTCTTACTAGATATTACTAGATCATCAGCGCGGATCCCTGCCTACAGGCCATCCTTAGCTATGAATAGTATCGGTGGGAGATGCACCCTCTGCCAACTGGTAGGAGTGGCGGTCTTGATTTTTCTTGCACCTAGTATCCAATACCCCAAGGTCATGAAACACATAGTACTGCAGTAAGCAGATGGTGGGGGGGGCGGGTTTGCTTTCTTTTTCCCCTCTTCTTGGTCCTTCTCTACCCCATGATGGAACTACATTACTATTTGCTCCTAATTTGCGGGGTTGTATGGGTCCCCGTGCGGACAGGCAGCGTACATGCATACATTAAGGATAGACAGTATAGACAGTGCTAGTGCTGGTGCTAGTGTTAGTGCCAGTGCTGTTCAGCAAATGGAGCCGCGAACTGAGGCGATGTCTCTCTATCTATCTATATATCTATATCTACCTATCTACCTATCTATTTGTATATATGCACATGTCTATGTATATGCTCATTATATCCTCAATGGAAAGGAGGTGCAGTAAGCAGAAGCCACAATATGTTTCGCACCCTTCTGAGGTACACTTCTGCCTACTACCCCTGCTTGTCCAAAACCTGCGAAAATAGCCTCCCCGACGAACATGCTAAAAACACACCAAATCGGACACATTTTAGGGCAGTAGTAACACTAAATTTCCTGCCGCCTGCCTACCGGACGTCTCAGACTATAAGCCAAGTCAAGGTCTCACAGAAGGAAGGGTCTCACAAAAGGCAAAGCCTCACAGAAGCCAGAGTCTCACAGAAGGCAAGTCTTAGAGGGCAAGGTCTCACAGAAAGCAAGGTGTGTCACTCATAGCAGGGACTCACACAAGGCATGGTTTCACATCTGAAACAAAGGCATGGTTTCACAGAACATAAGGTGTCACATGTTGAATTGAGGCTTAACTCTCACAGAAGGCCGGGCCTCACAGAAGGCAGGGCCTCACAGAAGGCAGGGCCTCACAGAATGCAAGGTCTCACAGAAAGCAAGGTCTCAGAGAAGGAAGGGTCTCACAGAAGGCAAAGCTTCACAGAAGCCAGAGTCTCACAGAAAGCAAGGCCTCCCAGAAGCCAGGGCCTCGCAGAAGGGCAAGATCTCACAGAGGGTCTCACAGAAAGGCAGGGCTTCACAGAAGACAGAGACCATTAAACAAAGGCAGAGTCTCACAGAAGGCAAGGCCTCACAGAAGCCAAGGTCTCACGGAAGGCGAAGTCTCACAGAGGGCAAAGCCTCACAGAAAGCAAGGTGTGTCACTCATAGCAGGGACTCACATAAGGCACGTTTTTACATCTGAAACAAAGGCATAGTCACACAGACGCAAGGTCTCACATGTTGGATGAAGGCCTAGCTCTCACAGAGGCAGGTCCTCACAGAAGGCAGGGCCTCACAGAATGCAAGGTCTCACAGAATGCAAGGTCTCACAGAGGGTCTAACATTATGAACAAAGGCAAGGTCTCACAGAAGGCACAGGACGGAAGGCCTCACAGAAACGCAAGCTCTCACAGACTGCAGGGCCTCACTGAAGGCAAGGCCCAACATGTGAAAGAAGGCTGGGTCTCATAGAAGGCAGGGTCGCACATAGGACAAAAGGCAAAACTTCCCATGTGAGAGAAAGCAAGGTCGGACATGTGACAAAAGGTAGGGTCTCACATATGGCAGAAGAGGGTCTCGCATATGACAGAAGGCAGGGTGTCACACACGAAAGAAGGAGGGGTCTCGCACATGACAGATTGCAGGGTCTCACAGATCTAACAGGGTCTCGCATGACAAGGCCTCACTCACTGGGCAAGCAAATTGCAATAAAGGTCGTAAACAGGCCAGAAGGGAAGGCATCAGAGAAGGCAGGGCGTCATAGCAATTTCTCGCCAAAAAAAGCATCTTGCAGAAGTCTGGGTGCAGCATGGTTTCACAGATGGCAAGGTCTCACGGAGGGGAAGGCAGGGTCTCACAGGAGGCAGGGTCCCACATCTGAAAGAAAGCATCTTATTTGCAAAGGAAGCATAGGAAAGCAAAATGTGTTTTTCCGTGATTTTTATGTTTTTCTCTTGTTTTTACCAAATAATCATGTGCCTTCCATGTTTTTCCTGGCAACCCTGGAAAACATCTAATGGGAGGGGTTTGGGAAGGATTATGGGGTGTGTGGGGAGGTGGGTGGGGGGGTTGGTGGTGGTGGGGGTGGGAAGGGGAGGGGTTAAGGAGAATGGAAGGGGTTGGGCAAAGTGTTAAGGGGGTGTGGAGGGGGGTGGGGGGGCTATTGTGGACAGGAGGGGGTGTGCTGAGGGAGGGAAGTCTTGCTCGCCCCGTTAATTGCGTTTTCCTCGCCCCGTTAATGTTGTCGAACGTTTGTCGGAGGAGGTGGTGGGAGGGATTAAGGGAGAATGGAAGGGGTTGGGGAGGGTGTTAAGGGGGTGTGGAAGGAGGTGGAAGGGGGTGGGGGTGGACAGGAGGGGGGGTGGTCCTGCTCGCCCCGTTAATTGCGTTTTCCTCGCCCGTTAATGATGTCGAACGTTTGTCGGAGGAAGGGGTGGGAGGGATTAAGGGAGAAGGGAAGGGGTTGGGGAGGGTGTTAACGGGGCGTGGAAGCGGGTGGAAGGGGGTGGGGGTGGACAGGAGGGGGTGGTGGTCCTGCTCGCCCCGTTAATTGCGTTTTCCTCGCCCCGTTAATGTTGTCGAACGTTTGTCGGAAATCTGCCCTATTCCGACCCTTCCAGCTGCTGTGAGACGCTGCCTTCTGAAAGACCCTACCTACTAGGCTTCTGTCCTGCGAGATCCTGTTAGATCTGTGAGACTTGCAGTCTGTCATCTGTGAGACCCTTCCTTCTTTCGTGTGTGAGACCCTGCCTTCTGTCATAAGCGAGACCCTGTTAGATCTGTGAAACGTTGCAATGTGTCATGTGCGAGACCCTCCTTCTTTCGCGTGTGAGACCTTGCCTTCTGTCATATGCGAGACCCTCTTCTGCCATATGTGAGACCCTACCTTTTGTCACATGTCCGACCTTGCTTTCTCTCACATGTGAAGTTTTGCCTTTTGTCCTATGTGCGACCCTGCCTTCTATGAGACCCAGCCTTCTTTCACATGTTGGGCCTTGCCTTCAGTCAGGCCCTGCAGTCTGTGAGAGCCTGCGTTTCTCTGAGGCCTTCCCTTCTGTGCCTTCTCTGAGACCTTGCCTTTGTTCATAATGTTAGACCCTCTGTGAGACCTTGCTTTCTGTGAGACCTTGCATTCTGTGAGGCTTTGCCTTCTGTGAGGCCCTGCCTTCTGTGAGAGTTAGACCTCAGTTCAACATGTGACACCTTGTGTTCTGTAAAACCGGGCCTTTGTTTCAGGTGTGAAACCATGCCTTGTGCGAGTCCCTGCTGTGAGTGACACACCTTGCTTTCTGTGAAGTTTTGCCCTCTGTGAGACTTTGCCTTCTGTGAGACCATGGCTTCTGTGAGGCCTTGCCCTCTGTGAGGCCCTGGCTTCTGTGAGGCTTTGCCTTCTGTGAGACCCTGACTTGGTTTATTTTATGATACCCTGCCGTTTGTGAGACCCTGCCTTTGTTTAAGGGGCGAGACCCTGTCTTCTGTGAAGCCCTGCCTTTCTGTGAGACCCTGCCGTCTGTTCAATTTATATCGAAAAATGTGCTACATGTCTATAGATTGTACCTTGCTCCTAGTATAGACCAAATATAAAATCCTAAACTTCAGTTTTGGAAGAATGTCCAGGGCCGGTCCTGTCATTCTGCCGCCAACCAGAAAGTGAGCAAGAGCAGTTCGCGTGTGGGAGCAGTAGAGGAGAGCAACAGTCCGGGAGCGTGTGATTTCACGGGTGAAAACACCTTCAGGTGCGGAATCCATTGTTTCCCCCTGTCTATTGTGTGAGTCCCTGCTATGAGTGACACACCTTGCTTTCTCTAAAGTTTTGCCCTCTGCTAAACCTCGCCTTCCGTGAGACCCTGGCTTCTGTGAGGCCTTGCCTTCTGTGAGACCCTGGCTTCTGTGAGGCTTTGCCTTCTGTGAGGCCCTTCCTTCTGTGAGACCCTGACTTAGTTTATTTTATGATACCCTGCCGTCCGTGAGACCCTGCCTTTGTTTAATGGGCGAGACCCTGTCTCCTGTGAAGCCCTGCCTTTCTGTGAGACCCTGCCTTCCTTGATGTGTGAGACCCTGACTTCTGTTCTAATTTATATCGAAAGCTACATATCTATAGATTGTATCTTGCTCCTATCATTGGCCAAATATAAAACCCTAAAACTTCAGTTTTGGAAGAATGTCCAGGGCCGGTCCTGTCATTCTGCCGCCAACCAGAAAGTGAGCAAGAGCAGTTCGCGTGTCGGAGCAGTAGGGGAGAGCAACAGTTCGGGAGCGTGTGATTTCACGGGTGAAAACACCTTCAGGTGCGAGGTCCTTTATTTCCCTGTCTATTGTGTGAGACCCTGCATTGCGTCATATGTGATACGCATGCCTGTAGCCAAACTAGGCTTGGCACCCCCTGCCTTCTGTGAGACCCTGCCATTGTGTAATGGGCGGGACCCTGTCTTCTGTGAAGCCCTGCCTTTCTGTGAGACCCTCTGTGAGATCTTGCCTTCTGTGAGACCGGACCCTGGCTTCTGTGAGGCTTTGCCTTCTGTGAGGCCCTTCCTTCTGTGAGACCCTGACTTAGTTTATTTTATGATATCCTGCCTTCTGTGAGACCCTGCCTTTGTTTAATGGGCGAGACCCTGTCTTCTGTGAGGCCCTGCCTTTCTGTGAGACCCTGCCTTCCTTGATGTGTGAGACCCTGCCATCTGTCCATCTGTTCTAATTTATATCGAAAACTGTGCTACATATCTATAGATTGTATCTTGCTCCTATCGAAGACCAAATATAAAATCCTAAGCTTCAGTTATGGAAGAGTGTCCAGGGCCGGTCCTGTCATTCTGCCGCCAACCAGAAAGTGAGCAAGAGCAGCTCGCGTGGGGGAGCAGTAGAGGAGAGCAACAGTTCGGGAGCGTGTGATTTCACGGGTGAAAACACCTTCAGGTGCGAGGTCCTTTATTTCCCTGTCTATTGTGTGAGACCCTGCATTGCGTCATATGTGATACGCATGCCTGTAGCCAAACTAGGCTTGGCACCCCCTTGCCTTCTGTGAGACCCTGCCTTTGTTTAGTGGGCCAGACCCTGCCTTCTGTGAAGCCCTGCCTTTCTGTGAGACCCTCTGCGAGGTCTTGCCTTCTGTGGGACCCTGGCTTCTGTGAGGCTTTGCCTTCTGTGAGACCCTTCCTTCTCTGAGACCCTGCCTTTGTTCATAATGTTGGACCCTCTGTGAGACTTTGCTTTCTGTGAGACCTTGCATTCTGTGAGGCCCTGCCTTCTGCGAGGCCCTTCCTTCTGTGAGAGTTAGGCCTCAGTTCAACATGTGACACCTTGTGTTCTGTGAAACCAGGCCTTTGTTTCAGATGTGAAACCATGCCTTGTGTGAGTCCCTGCTATGAGTGACACGCCTTGCTTTCTGTGAGACCTTGCCCTCTGTGAGACCTTGCCTTCTGTGAGATCCTGGCTTCTGTGACGCTTTGCCTTCTGCGCGGGGCCTTCCTTCTGTGCTGCCTTCTGTGAGACCCTGCCTTTGTTTAATGGGCGAGACCCTGTCTTCTGTGAAGTCCTGCCTTTCTGTGAGACCCTGCCTTCCTTGATGTGTGAGACCCTGCCATCTGTTCTAATTCATTTGAAGATATTTGAAGATGTTTGATGGGCGAGACCCTGCCCTACCTTGCCCTCTGTGAGACCATGCCATTTCAAGCTCGTTCATTTGAAGATGTTTTGACCTACAAGAAACAGGAGACCACTGCTGTCCTGATTCTCCTTTGAGAATCACATGTGATGGATCTGCCCACAGGCTTTGTACGAACCTGAGCCCTTGACATTGCAAACTCGTGCTGGATACCATCCAAGCGCACTGACTGAGAAGTTTGAGCCACAGTTCTCGCAAACTGTCAAATTCTCAAATTGTCATGTTTTTATGTCCCTTGTCATGTTGTCATATGTTTTCATTATCTTCCATTATTTTCCCTAATTTCCCATGTTTTCTCATATTTTTAAAGGGTTTTTTCTCACCCCATTTGGGTCTCACCCCCCAAACTTTTCAGTGATATATACATTACATATAGTTTCTGTGGATAAATCACAATGACTCACTGACCTGAAAGAAGATAAAGATGTATTTTTTGGCCATTTTGGGATAGTTACACCTATTATTCCTTCGGAACGTCACCCCATTTGGTTGTTGTAATTCCTCGTGCTTTCTAGATGTCCAACTCTTCCATCTGTGACGGAAAAATAGGGGGAAAACCCTCATCATGTTCCCAATTATGGAAAAATGGCACAAAGTTGGCCGCGTGAAAATCCACTTGAGACCCGTTGCAAAGACAACTTTCCATCTTTATCTGCATCAATCTCCTCAACGACTTGATGCGATCAAAGCAGGGTGCTATGATTCAGCTATGGGATGTTCGCCATCAAAATAGATGGATTTTTTGGATGCTCACCCCACCTAGTCATATGATATTTTAAAGATGTTGATCCCCTCTGATTCAGATTTTGTTCAACAATAATGACATGCAATAGTGAGGCACCGCCTCTTTGTACGAACCTGGAAGTTGCTAGTACATTTATATATATATATATTCCGGGACCAAAAAAAGGAATAGATCCAATACTAAACCGCTTGGGGGTGTATCCAAATCAGTATTTTGGGGAAAGCCATCGTCCCAACTCACCCAAAATCTCACCATCGCCCAAGAGGAAAGGAGGTTCCTCCTTTTGGAGGTCTCCTAACATGGGGTATACGGTATACCCCTAGTTATCATCCGTCTTTTGTTGCTGATTTTCCATCAACCATCCAGCTATTGGGGAATCCCCCATTGGAAGCCCCCATGTCTCAGCTCCATGGCCATCCCATGTCTCCTCAAGGATGGTTTTCACGTCTCTTCCGGCAATCCTTGGATCTCACTCTTCGATGATCTCATTCCCACCACTGTGCTATGCCACCACTGGCACTTGCCCATTTTTGTGATGCTTAGATCAAATGAAATCCCATAAATTCCATATATAAAATCCCCATGATCATGGAATTCGCTTAAACTCAGCTTCAAAAACAGTGTTCAATCAATCAATCCCATTTTTGCTGGGTTACAGTAGATGTTTTCCCATGCCTGCGCTCCAGGTGCTAAGGCTGTCACGCATGGGCTTGGTGATCGGCAAATTCCAGGACCTCCGCCAGAGAGACCTCGGCGATCAGATCGGAATTTCGAGGGGAAAAACATGGAATCAATGGATGGGTTTTGTTGAGAAAATCTTAACAGGAAACCATGGAGTTTTTACCATCAAATTGATCGGGGTTTCTGGTCAAAATGTTCCCATGATGCAATTCTATGATGGGAAACACCAGGGGATTTTCATGGGAATTTTCATGGGGATATTTTCTCGTGAGATCATGAACAATGGAGGTATACTGCGGATTTTTCAACATCTTTAAACCAACGATATGTGACAAACATGGGATGGACATTGTGGATTCACATGGCCACAGAACTAACAATATGAGGATTGCATGGAATATAACTCGGATTAAACATGCATAGTAATCATGGGGATTCAACAAACAATCATGTAACAATCAGGGTCGCTCTCAGGCTCTCAGCACCCCAGATATGTTTGGGCGGAAAACCGGATAAAGAGGTACACAGATGTACAAATGACAAAACACATAGCCATCATTTGCCTAAAATGGGTTATACAAACCTTGTTGGGCCGGTAAGGAAATTGGTTACAATGGGATCTTGGGATTCTCAGAATAAGATTGGTGAATGATTGTTGTTTGAATGTATGTAGAGCGGCATAATATGTATATATATATAATACATACATACATACATACATACATACATACATACATTACATTACATTACATTACAATTACAATTACAATTACCATTACCATTACCATTACATTACATACATACATACATACATATAAATATATATATATACATACAATAAATATATATATATATCATATGATCAAACCTCATCAAACAAGAATATAGCTAGCCCTAGTTTGTTTTTAAGCATTGGTATCTATATCATATGTATATATATATATATATAATCCTAGCCAGGCTATGCCTACCCCCTCCTCAAACGTGGCTGGAAAAATGTCCCGCGCCTTGCCATCGCCGTTCTTGTCGAACTTCGCGTGCAGTGCCCGCAGCTTGTCCTTGCCTTTGGCGCATCAAAGCTGAAACAAGCTGGAGGGAAAAAAAACATGAAAAACCAAGGGAAAATGGTGAGTTAATCAAGAAACTTGGCTGATTTCCATGGGAATTGTTGAAAAACCATGGGAAAATGGTGTGAGAACTGTGCGAACCAAGAAAATTGGCTGATAATGAATGATGGATTTGTCTGGCTGATTTTTGATAGCAACTCTGCAAGGTATATATAATTATATATATATATACATAGAATATAGCAAACCCCAGTCATAGATAAAAGACTTGGAAATCTGGACATCTGTGGAATGGACACATCATCGTAGATTCACATCCTAGAAACACCTGTTGGCATCAATGTAGCTCTACTTAGTGTTCTTGCCGCAGATTCATCCTGGAGTAGAGACATATCTGGAAATGTCAGTAAATTAGCACTGTTTAAATAAATAAATATATATATATACATATACCCGTTAGATATATACAAATCAGCCTTACATATGTGTATATATATATACATACATATAATTAGGAATATGTTGTTTGAAATCATCATTGAGATCCACAACTAGTTTGACATACTCCCATGATTTTGATTGCCGATTTACAAAAAAAATGGATTTCGGACAACCCCAACACATACAGCTTCACATATACATAGTTCCGCAATTGGATTTTTTCTCAATTTATATGTTGAAACGTTTTCGAGTTGGGCATTGGTTCAAATCATTGACCCCCCAAACAAATACCGTCTGGTAAACGTTTACACAACTATGGAACATCACCATTTTTAATGGGTAAATCCACTATAAATGGCTATTTTCAATAGCAAACTAGTTTACCAGAGGGTATCCCAAAGTTCCGAGATGAGATTGCGGTCAAATCCCCTGGTTCAGGTCTACGACGTTGCCCATTTGGCCATTTGGCGACTGAAAAACCACATGTTTGGTGGCTAAAATCCCTGCACATCCAAGGTTTAGAGTTCAGTCATTGAATGTCATGTCATATGTCAATATATATATATATACTGTGTATATATATATATATATACTGTGTATATATATATATGTATAATACCTTACACTTGTACTTATACTATGTACACATTCTGGTATGGTTCCCTTAGTTTGCGGATTCTTCCTCACTATATTCCCATCAACTCTTGGAGAGTGGTTTATGATATGTTAGTTATAGTTGTAAGTTATAACTCATTTATAGATGGGATAACGGATAACTATGGAAGACTCACTTAGCGTACTATCCACTGACAATTCGAAGGATGATCCTCAAAGTATTGCAACCATTTGCAACCCCTTCAACAAAAGTGCAGAAAACATCATCGAACTACCATCCTGGCACACGTTTCGGCATCTCTTTGGGTGCCGAAAAGGTCTCCTCCAAGTCACTGATGGTTTCCTCCAGATCCTCACCCTCCTCCTCCTCATCCATCAGTTCCTCTGCCAAAGAGACCACCAGCAAAGAGACCCAAAACCTCTCAGTTGCCACAGCCACCGCAGAGGATTTTTTGGTCATGTTACTTCAAAGTCGTGGAAAGCATTTGATACCCCTCAAAAACATTATATTTTGATGTATTTTGAGAGATGAAAACTACCTCCGCAAAAAAAAAAAACAAGAAGCTGATCTATAAAACATTACGCAGCAAGTTTTGGACTGGAAATGCGATTTTCAACCTACCAAGAAATGGGTTTTACAAATTCATAACCACCCAAATCGTACAAATACAGCCAGAACCACCCAAATATTAGACCATATATGATATCAACCAAATCACAACATATGAATGATATTCAATTTTACAATAATATAATATTATATCAACAAAATCACCACCAAATATTGCAGTACAACCAACAAATACCATAATATGTGAGACAACGCGGGTCAAATCAATACTATTGCGCAGGATGAATCCCAATCTTTGCAGCTTGAATCACAACTTGGCACTTAGAACTATCCCTTTTCTTAGGTGGATTTCATCCACTTTGTTGCTTGGATATTGCTGAAGTATGCTGAAGTCATGTAAGTCATCTCCATGTGTGGTGCTTTCTATGTTGTGCTCCAATCACAGTTATGGCCATTTACCAGTTATAACTGGTTATAAATGGGATTATACATTCTATAAATGGGGTTATAAGTACTTATAACTGATAAATGGCCATAACTGCAACTTTTTGTCGCTGAACAACTCCCTGGTTCTCGTTGCGGCTGGTGCTTCCAAGACGCCATCTCCAAAGCCCCATGGCGAAGCCCTGCGCCGCGTCGCAGCCGGAGATCACCGGTTTTTCGATGAAAAAACGCTGCGGGGCGATCCGGAAAAACCCTCAGATTCTGTGAATCATGTGGGGTTCCATAAATCGGGCATCCCCAAGCAGGCTGCGGTTTAGCTGGTTGGTTTAGAAGGGAAGTTTTCCATCAATGGATGAGAACTCGGGGTAGCTTCATTTCAGGAAACCTCCAAATGCTTATTGATTTTCATGGAACTTCAGAATTGACTGGTACCTAAAGTCAATCTTACTTGTATAATGATGCACAGCATAGAATAAATATGAGATTACAGATATGTCCACTCAATGATATATAACTGTTGGCAGGTTTATTTCAGTGGATAGGAGTATATATATATATATATGTATATATTGTATGGTTCATGGTTCACTACGCTGGCTTTCCATTGCAATGCTAAATGACCAGAAGGTATCCAGATTTCATTGTACAAAGCAAATTGTCCATCACACATGCCACATTTTTCTTTGGGTATACCGGGAAAGACCATACCCCCTTTCTGGACACATCCATGTTTGAACCGACACAGACCGATGCATCACATCTATGCCCATTGGCGCACGTGCCGCCCGTGCCCTGTTGGCACCGGCGCATCCGGCAAAATGGGATGAGCTGGTGCTGTAGATTGATTCCACTGGCTGAAACATCAACCATGGCAGCTGGAAATCACCCAGAAAATGGAGATGTTTTCCCGGGAAAAAACATGTCGGACATATAGGAAAAATTGGGGAAAATACACTGGATTTTCCAAATGGGAAGCCAATCTATATCTGCGGCATTTTCCTTTGCCATGTGTGATTGTCAAAGGGTAATCATGGGTAATTGTCTAATTATAACTTATTGGAATTACTGATGGTTATAACTTTCACTGTGACCAGTCCATACCACTTGCTGGCAGGTCGGCTGAACAGAAACCTACATATCCTACATTACTCTTGCAGGATTACTCTCAGTGAACCTCTGACATCATGCCATGCTTCATTTTTCACAGCAATTTCTCAGATTGAAAAATTATACACCATAGTATACTATACAAATACTATATATATATATAAATACCAGTAGTATATTCATCTGGGTAAATTATAATATTTCACTAACCTCAATGGTCCGGCCATGAATGGGGATGATTTCCCTAAACTAAACCATGATTCCAGGCAGCGGGAGAACAGTGAGGTCGTTATAATTTACCCAGACTGTTGGGATGATATTCATTGTATCACTATATTACCCATTGGTGATATATCCCAAATACCATAGTAATAATTTAATAATTCATATGTGACAGTGAACATAGTTTGTTTAGTATGGCAGTTTGAGACATCTTGAGATTCGGAGTCCAGATCTGTAGACTCAATTTGCGGCGCATTTTTTGCCGCGCCAACCGTATTAGTTGGCGAGTCGGAGCGGGATTAGTTGGCACATCCGGATCCAAGGCTGGCGCAAAATGTGGACCCCAAACATCTCACCAGTTCAACTGCGGGATGTATGTGACCCAACGTTTACATTCACGAAAAAAAAATCCTATAGAATTGGCTTCAAAAACATCAGTTTGATCCGTTTCAGGGTGACAAATGCCCTGTTCCAACGGCATGTCAAACGCCTGTTCTGCACAGTGTTTTGTGAAGATTTTGGAGGGATTCTATCAATTCAGGTGTCACCTGTCATACAGAACAAACCTTCCAGGCTAGTTTTGAGTTGGTTATATTATATAGCACCTATGTATATATATATATAATTATATAATAATAATAATATATAATAATAATCCATTGTATGTCAATAAACAACTATAGGTTTGTCCAAGAATCGGGTACCCTCCAAACCAAACCGTGAATCATCATATCACGTGGTAAAATTGCTATTTCGGAGTATACCGTACTATGTTGTGATAGACAGATCCAAATTAATGGGGTTGCCATGATTTTCCTATTTTATGTTTGGTAAATCCCGTTTTACAGTTGGCTAAAAGCTCAATATCCCTATTAATGTCCTTTAACACATGTGAGGGTTGTTGCAACCCCTTGACCATATCTTCTCTTCACACGAGCTGTCGTCACAGAGCAATAGGTATGTCGCAGGCGTCCTCGGTGTTTTTGGGGCGCGTGCAAGCTCCTGATGATTCACTTGCTGACTTTCCTCAAAAAATGATGGTTCAAGAAAATAAACATATTTCACCTAATTTTTTGAACCATATAACATAATTAATGGTTTCCTCCTAATAACATATTAATACCAAGCATTACCCAGCTTTTGGGACCCCAACATCATAACAGTGGACCAGGGTTTCCGCAGATTCTTTTAATTTTAAACTCTTTTATAGGGGCATGGGATTAATCAAACCAACGCGGTGAGATCCCAAAATAAATGGGATTGCCTCAAATATATGAGCAATTCATGGGAGAAAACGAACTGTCTCAACCATGAATGAGATTTAGAGATTCTTCCATAGCTTTCCAAATCAGTCCCAGTCAGTCCAAGGGTCTGGGTAAATTACAATATTTCACTAACCTGAATTAAGGCCATGAATGGGGATCATTTCCCCTACTAACTATGATTCCAGGGTTCGGGAGAACAGTGAGGTCGTGATAATTTACCCAGACTGTTGGGATGATATTCATTATATCACTATATAACCCATTGGTGATATATCCCAAATACCATAGTAATAATTCATATATAACTCAGTCCCAGTCAGTCCAAGGGTGTTGCAGGATACCTGTAGAATGACATAGAATATTCTTCCATGGCTACATAGTGTTCTAATTCTTCGTAGGATTCCCTCTGGTAAACACACCATTTGCCATGGAACATCACCATTTTTCATGGGTATATAAATCAACTGTAAATACTATAAATGGGCCATGTTCAATAGCAAACTGTAACAAATTACCTGAAGGTAGTAAGTAGGTTATAACCCCAGTTATAGGTGGATTAAGCCTACTTATCCCACTTATAACTAGGGATATAACCACCATTTTCACCAGTAAAACGTGGCATAATCCATTCGTTCCTTCCAAGTCCAAGTCTAAGGCTCGAGTACATCCTCCTTCGCCCGACTCTTTCGTGACCCCAGCAGCAGTGGTGCAGCTGTTGCAGTAGTCACAGGTGGAACAGAGGGCAGATGCAGTTTCTTGCTTCGCTTGTAGGCCAGGAGGTAGTAATATCCATCCCAAGTCCTAACTCTGAAATTGCGGCGGAATTCTCCATTTTTTTCGGAACGCCAAAGTGAAATAGAATTATAAATCACATTAAATAGAATTAAATCACATTAAATCACATGAAATCACATGAAATCACCATGTTTTTCATCACCAGCGCCAAGTTGCCAGCGACCCGCCCGTAATTGACGCTGCTCCGGTGAATCCGCCGACCAGTCGTAGGGGTTCATGATCTAAGGGTTTCCAATGATTGAGATAGATGGGTACCCTCTGGTAAACTAACATCGCTATTGAAAATGGCCATAGAAATAGTGGATTTACCCATTCATAAGGGTGATTTTCCAGTTCGCTATATTTAATTACCAGAGGGTAATTTTGGGCGTTCACAAAACAATCATTACAATATCATAGCAAATTTGGGGTTAGAAACATTTTGTCACCATTATCCAAGGTTTGATGGTCAAAAGTGAAAAGATCCAGCTTTCTATGGTCGTCCCATTCTTCGGGGTGCAGCTGAGGTGAAAGAAATGGTCGGCTGAGTATGGTATAATATGGTTTTAAACCCCCAGGTTGGGATATAACCCTTATAATTCTGGCCTCATATCTATATATATATATATAAGTGGAACTGCACGCCCAAGTATATATTCACTTAGTGGAACCATGGCGATAGCCTTTGAACTTCTGTTTTTTAGGCAACAATACATTGGAGACAGTCGGATACGGAAATATTTGAGGATTCATGGACGTGAATGGATCTGAATTAGATACATATAGATAGGTAGATAAATAGATTGATTGATTGCTCAATATAAGGGATAGATACATCCAGGGAGATAGATCGACATTTTGCGATATAAAAATATGATGCATAAATACGTACACCACCAAAGGTATAGATAGATAGATAGATAGATAGATAGATAGATAGATAGATAGATAGATAGATAGATAGATAGATAGATAGATAGATAGATAGATAGATAGATAGATAGAT